TAGGATTGTCTTGGAAATGTGCAGTCTTTTTTGGTTCCATATGAACTTTAAAGCAGTTTTTTCCAATTCTGTGAAGAAAGTCATTGGTAGCTTAATGGGGATGGCACTGAATATATAAATTACCTTGGGTGGTATGGCCATTTTCACAATATTGATTCTTCCTATCCATGAGCCTGGTATGTTCTTCCATTTGTTTGTGTCCTCTTTTATTTCACTGAGCAGTGGTTTGTAGTTCTCCTTGAACAGGTCCTTTACATCCCTTGTAAGTTGAATTCCTAGGTATTTTATTCTCTTTGAAGCTGTTGTGAATGGGAGTTCATTCATGATTTGGCTTTCTGTTTGTCTGTTACTGGTGTATAAGAATGCTTGTGATTTTTGCACATTGATTTTGTATCCTGAGACTTTGCTGAAGTTGCTTATCAGCTTAAGGAGATTTTGGGTTGAGACAATGGGGTTTTCTAAATCATGTCATCTGCAAACAGGGACAATCTGATTTCTTCTTTTCCTAACTGAATGCCCTTTCTTTCTTTCTCTTGCCTGATTGCCCTAGCCAGAACTTCCAACATTATGTTGAATAGGAGTGGTGAGAGAGGGCATCCCTGTCTTCTGCCAGTTTTCAAAGGGAATGCTTCCAGTTTTTGCCCATTCAGTATGATATTGGCTGTGGGTTTGTCATAAATAGCTCTTATTATTTTGAGATACATTCCATCAATACCGAATTTATTGAGCGTTTTTAGCATGAAGGGCTGTTGAATTTTGTCAAAGGCCTTTTCTGTCTCTATTCAGATAATCATGTGGTTTTTGTCATTGGTTCTGTTTATATGCTGGATTTCGTTTATTGATTTGCATATGTTGAACCAGCCTTGCATCCCAGGGATGAAGCCCACTTGATCATGGCGGATAAGCTTTTTGATGTGCTGCTGGATTCAAGTAGTCTCTTCATTGAAAGAATAGGTATCAAACAACAGACTGGTTTTAAATGTTGGTTAAATGCTCAGTAGCTGTTAATCATAGTTGTAGAAATTTTTAAGGCAATATGTTCATTGGACTAGTTTCCAATCATATTTCACAATCAATACTTTTATAACTCTATAAATCCATAACTGGTCACATGCATTTCACATATTCATCGCAGTATTGATGTTAACACTATTTGAAATTACTGAATAATTTGAAATAGTAGATAGATACCTCGTAGATTGAATAAAGTGATTTGCCGTGCCATCTTATTATAATGTTATAACAATCCTGGAAATTATCCAGGCAAAACACCTGGTTTCTAATCCAGAGTTCTTTCCATTGCTAATAAATAAGGGTTATGAGAAGGCAAAGAGCACAGTGAACTCTCAGTTATTAACAGGCAAACTTTCTGGTTTTCTGCAAGCCAGTCTTCTCCAGCTTGACTTTTGGAAGGCCAAGCAACCCCACAAAACAGATGTACAAATTCCCTTGTTATATTTACCTCATCCACCATAAAAACACGGGACAGACCATCCTCCTAGAAGTGTCTAGAATTTCATGTTTAAAAGAAGTAGTTACTGATTAAAATATTGATTCTGCTGACCTCGCATTTACTTTAAGATATTATTGAGTTTTTTTGACTATTTTTATTTTTTAAGTGATTAATTTTCTAAATTTGCATATTAGGTAATTGAAGATTGTATCGTGGCTGGAATCTGGTTCATGAAAAATTCCTCTTTCTAGTTGTCATTTTTTCCATTTAATTACTCTCTGGGACTTGAGGAGAATGCACAATTTTCCAGCAAAGCCACGAGATAAGTATTTGTTTAAACTTCTGAAGTACTTCCTGTTTTGTTTTTTCCCAGTCTGTCTACATACATATATAAGAAATCTGAATAACTTGCTTTTTCTTAGTCTTGCTGGCTTTTCTTCATTATTTTCACCAAATAAATGGGGTAGAAAACTCACCTTTTTTTATAGCAAACTACACTTGGTATCATTTCCCTTTGCTTTTCTCTGTTACTCACACACACAAAACTATGCTCTATATTCCTTTTTCGCTTGTATCTTGTTTCATTCAATGACCACACCTGAATCTATAGGCACTACTTAGGGAGATTAGATTTGGACGGTATGGAAGCCATGGGCATCTTAGTAATCAGAAGGAAAAAACATTCTAGCCTGTTTGGCCGGAACTGCCATCTTCCAATAATTCACCAAAATAACGAATGCAAAAGGAAAGAGGAGAGGCACCCTGTATATGTTCTCTAGGCCTTTTAGAAAACATAGAGTTGTTCCTGTGGCCACAAACATATGCAACTATAAGAAAGGTGATATTGTAGATATCAAAAGGAATGCCTGCAAGTGTTACCATGGCAAAACTGGAAGAGTCCCAGTGTTCCTCAGTATGCCGTTTACATTGCTGTAAACATACAAGTTAAGGGCAAGATTCCTGGCAAGAGAATTAATGTGTGTATTGATCATATTAAGCACGCTAAGAGCCAAGATAGCTTCCTGAAATGTGCGAAGGAAAATGACTGGAAAAAGAAGGAAGCCAAAGAGAGAAGTACCCAGGTTCAGGTGAAGCGCCAGCCTGCTCCACTCAGACAAGTGCACTTTGTGAGAACCAATGGGAGGGAGCTTGAGCTGCAGACACACCTTCCCTATGGATTCATGGCATAACAGGTGTAGAAAAGTAAAAGGCCTCTGAACTGTAAAAATGTTTTATGTGGTTAAAAACAAAGCAAAAGAGGAAGAAATAGTTTAACAATGATTAATATAGAAAATTCACAGGTATGATGCTTTAGCTAACAACACAGTCTATGAGACAAAGTGAAGCAAATTAGGACTATTAAAGTTATTGCAGAACAGATATAAGCATCAAGGACAAGATTTCTTCTGACTTTAAGAATCTGTATTTGTGCAGATAGTTTTACAAAATGAGAGGCTCAAGTGACCAGAAAGAGCACACAACTAGAAATATTTCTGAATTCAAGTCTAGGATGTGCCATTTATTATACATCCAATCTTAGGCAGCCTCCTTGGGATCCATTTTCCCTGTCTCCAAAGAGAGGTTAGACTAGATACTCTTTATTACATTTTCAGTTTTAAAAATAAAGTCCACAATACAGTTAGCCTTTAAGAATTCAACACTTATCTCATATCCCAAGTTCCTAAACTGTTGTAGGTCCTCAACAAATATTTCCTGAATGAATGAATCAGTTACTTCTGTATAGGCCTCCACTGTATCTTATGAGTTACAAAGGATAACAGGGGAAAAACAGGGAGGGAAAATGGTGTGCCACACTGGGGCCAGGTGAAAATTCATATTTTAAGGCGGGTTCCTCTTCTTTCATTGGAGGATATATATAACCAGTAAAGGAGAAAGTATGTATTCTTTATAGAACCTTTATTGACTTTTCGTATTAAAAAAGTAATACATACTCATCATATTATTGAATATAGAGTGAAATAAACTAAAAATTCCTGGTAATTCTATTACCAAGAAGTTACCATTTTTCATATTTTGGTACACAGTCTTTCAGGCTTTTCTCTACACATATACATTTTTAAAACATGGTATCCTATTGTGCCTATCTAATGCTGCTTTAAAGCCAGTCTTTTTCTCCTTTTGAAAATATAGTGTGGATTTTTCAAGATGGCATAGTACTCTCTTGTATAAATGTGCTATAATTTATTCAATAAATTTTCTGCACTTAAACATTTATGTTATTTCCTTTTTTCTATCAAATATGTTACAGTAAAAATCTTTTACAAGTTTTTAAATTTATTCTTTAAGATGATAAGCATAGAATTGCTGGGTGAGAAAATATGAAACTTATTAAGGCTTTTGGATATATCTTCCTAAATGACTTCCAGAAAAGGCTATGCCAATTTGTTTCCTCCAGCAAAGTATAACAATTCCTGTCTCCTTGGGTCATCAAACATGGGCATTATCAATTTTTAAAATCTGTGCCGATCTGGAAGGCAAAAGTGTCACAGTTGTTTTAATACGCATTTCCTGTCTTGGCTTACATTTGTTTAATTCCTTTAATAGTAGGTCAACATTATAAATAGGGATGTACTAGAATGTGTGCCATACAGTGAATTAAAAAAATACACAAAAGATTGCTAGACATCTTATACAAGCGAAATCATTTATTTATCTATTCACTTTCATTTGTTCCATTTATTGAGTGCTTTTCTATACTGTGGATACTTCTGAGTACTGGTGAAATAAAAGCAAAAACACACAGTCCCTGCTCTCAAGGAGCTCACAGTTAAGAAAACAGATATGTAAGTATGCTACTGTAATATGGTGTTATCAGCACTCTAATAAAAGTATATACAAGGTTAGTAGTGTCTCCATAATGGGTAAGAAGGAAAGAGTGTTTCTTTAAAAATAATCAGACCCAGAATACGGGGTGAAACCCTCAATGTCTACAGGATGCAGTAAAGACCTTGTGCATTCCAGAGACAAAGAAAGGTGCTGCAACTTCTGGACATAAAGGAGTTCCAATAAATCCAATCTTACATCATAAAGACTAAGCTTACCATCACCAATTCATACATTGGAAGTTCAAGAACCAGATTTCCCTTATTCAGTTGTCTGTCATATTCTTTCCAATTATTTTGTAACACTGGACTAGTCAGCATACCATCTTATGACCAAATTTAAAACAAATTACTGGTTAAGGAAAAAAAATGACTCACTAGTAAGTAAAGTGACAAGCAATTAGAACAAACGAACCATCCATCCTTCAGGAAGCTTTTTTAAAAAAGATTTTCTGCATGGTTTATCTTGTGGTTTGCTTCTTCCAACAAAGCAGTAACCTTAGAAATGATATCAGCATGAAAAGTTCATGACTTATTCACCTCTGACATAACTTTGGAGTCTCATGGGAGTTTCAAAAAGTTTTTCTTCTGATCATGAGATTTGGTGGTTTCACATATTTACTTCCCCCGCCCCCACCGCCCCCTGTGTTAAAAGGTTTACTGGCAGATGCAGGAGGTGACATTCCAGTGGCTCCATTATTTTAATTAGTCAATATCATTTATTGTCATTAAACAAATATTTGGAATCCACTACACTCAAAGCATAGCATTTGGTTTTACTTAGCATTTTACAAACACTTTTAAGTACATATCAATATGCACATCAATCTTACCTCTACCTCACCGAAGAGGAAAAGGGAGTTCAAGTTATCTTCTCAAGGTCAGATAGTCACTAAGAAGCAAAGGACTCTGAACACCGAACTCTGAACTCCAAATCCAGGGCTCTTTCCAGCCTTCCTTACTAGTCTCCCTGTACTCCAATTTTCCTGCTGCCTAATTAATGTTCTTAAAACACCAAAGTAGCTCCTGCCTTCATCATGTCTCATCTGCTCTGAAAATCCACTTTGACTATTTCAGTCCACAGAACTCATTCTCCTCTGAACTCCTATAGCTTGTTGCTCATATTATTCAACTGGCACTAACTCAGAAAATGCCTAGTGAGATCTCTGTCTTTAATTATGAAATAATTTTAGTGTCTATTTAGAAAACACTGTGCCCGGTTATGAGACAGCTCCAGTACTACTCAAACCTAAGTTTTATTCAGTTCTGCAAATGTTTTTCACAACCTACTATGAGTCAGGCACCATGCTGAGAGCTAACACATGGTTTCTGCCCTCAAGAATCTTAATCTAACGGAAATGTGGATATGTAAATGTTTTACAGACATATGTGTACAATTGGTCATTCATTCATTAATTCAGTAAGCAAACTCAATTTGCAGGCCATGAAAGATAAGTAAAATATGGTCCATGTCTTTTTAAGTAACTTGCAGTCTAGGAGCAAAGAGAGACATACATTTTTTCATTCATTAAATAAACATTTATTCAATAAACACCTTATTATGTGGTGGAAACAAGTGAGGAACACCTATGAATAACACGGTCTCTGTTCAGAGTTGTTTCCTTTTTAAGGATCATAATCTTCAAAGGTAGAAACTAGCAACTATACTCTGTTATCCTGTGTAATAAGAAGGCTTAGCAAAGCCTTGGCCCATGGATATTCATTCATTCCTTCATTCTTAAATCTACTCCAAGTCTCTCTTGGTAGTTCTTACATATCACCCTTTTTTAGACCAGCTCAAGGTAATGAATCTAAGACAGAATTATCATAAACCTTATAGTTCTAGTGTAAGTATTTCCAAAGACACTTGGAATATTTTTCATGTTATTCCAAACACCAACCACTTCTTGGCTTTTTATAGAGAGAATAAAATAGAAATTCCTAAATAGAAATTCAGTTTTCTCACTCTATTACTTTGTTCACATATTTGATATGTCAAGGCACAAATGTGCAAGCAGTGGTTTTTAAAACATGCTATTCAGAGACAAAGGGGTTCCTTTGAGGTTTTTCAGAAATAATACCAGCAGTGGGGAAGACATGGCGCTTCCCACTTAACCAGAGTATTTCAGCTTTCTGTCTTAAATAGTGTGCTTCTAGGTAAAACTTATTTTGGAATAGGGTCCTGCTACTTAATTAAAAAAAAAAAAAAAACCTGATTTAAGAGAATCAATGTAGTAAGACATTATAGTATTTTGGCTTTTTGTTTTTTAATATTTATCTTTTTTAAAAATAATGTCTTTCCTATGAAGTCAAATCAATCCACTTTTAAAGACAGCTATGGTAGCTATGTTACTGAGCATTTATTACTTAGTGCCAACTACACTGTAAATCGATCATTTAGTCATATTTAGCATCCATTTAAGGAACCATTTCACTATATCGCCTACAAAGAAAGCAAGCAATACAAATCAGTGCGCATCACTGACATTAGAGATTAATTTCCTAAGAGATTTGCATTTCTAAATATGTCTATGTAGACAGAAGACCTGGTGTTCGATGTATCAGTAGGATGACTGATCTATTAACACTAACCTATTGTACATTTCAAAAAAGCTAAAGAGAATTTGAATGTTCCTAGTGTAAAGAAAACATAAATATTTAAGGTGATGGATATCCCAATTATCTTCATTTAATTACATGAATATACCATACTATCACATGTACCCCCCAAATAAATACAACTATTATGTATCAATGAATTTTAATTATATGAATATATCATACTATCACATGTACCCCCAAATAAATACATCTATTATGTATCAATGAATTTTAATTATATGAATATACCATATTATCACATGTACCCCCCAAATAATCTATTATGTATCAATGAAAAAAAATGTATCTTAGTGGGTCAATTTTTCCATTTGACTCTACTATATATAATAACACTTATTGAACACAAGTCCATCCTATGAGGTTCAACTGATATTTTTCCAGATAGCAAAGAGTAACTAATATTTACTGCATGTATTTCATTTCATCCTCAAAATAATCCTATTAGATAAGGACTATTATCATCCTCATGTTACAGACAAGGAAATGAAAGAACTAGCATGTAGAAATAGGGACCCTAAAAGGATCAGGGGAGCAAGAGGACCATGTATGGGAAAAATTTCCAGGTGAAAAGTGGGAAAAAGAAGAACCTCATTTCAGAAGGTTCCATTTCACATCAAACTTCTCAAACTGATGTAAACCAGATAGAGAGAACCTCCCAATTTCCACATCTATCTCTCCTGTTTACTCCAATGACTATAAAAAAGGCCTGACCTCCCACTCTCTATGGCTGCCAATAACTGCTCTTGAGGAATGGGGGTAAAGCCTGCCAGAAGAAGTGGGAGCAAAGATAGAAGGTTAGAATTGTCTCCATAATCGCCTTTAGATATGTTAACAGGAAAAGCCTCTCTCTAAGGGTAAAAATGTGAAAACAGGTTTTTTCAAAGGCCCCAATTCCCTGACCCTGTTTTCTTTTTATCTCTCTCATTATTCATATGTTCAAACACTATAAACTGAATTGTGTGATGGGCACTTGGAGGCACCAAAAATAAGTGAGTCAGGATTTCCATTATTGAAGGGAAAAAGACATTTAAACAGATACAGCACAAGATATTAAGTGCTGTAAGATGCTACGACAAAGCTTATTTAGGCAGGGACTATATTTTATTCATCTTTGTAGCCCCACTTATATAATAGTACCCAGCATATAGTTGATCCTGAAAAAAATGTTTTCATGTCCAGGATTTCTTCTGACTGACTTTAATATTCATATATGTGGTAGAAGGCCCTCTATATCAAATCTGAGTATAATTACAGTAAGCTAAACTTGAATTTCCTTGGACTTTATATTCAAATGTATATTAGTATCAACTGCCAGTCCTAGATGTACTAAAATCAATTAGCCTTATTTTATGCTTTCCCAGCACTAGAAAAAAACATTGTAGATGGCAAACCTGTCACATAAGAAACAACTGCATTCATTAATTGAGAATGAATGTAGGTGCAGGTTGAATATCCCTTATCCAAAATGCTTGGGACCAGAAGTGTTTTAGACTTTTTTTTTTCAATCTTTGAATATTTGCATATTCATAATGAGATATCTTGCAGATGGGACCCAAGTCTAAATATGAAATTCATTTATGTTTCATATACACTTCTTACACATAGCCTGAAGCTAATTTTATTTTTCTCTTGGGAACAGAGTAAACTGTTGTGCACTTGCATTTTGACTGTGACCCCTCACATAAGGTCAGGTATGGAATTTTCCACTTGTGGTATCATGTCAACATTCAAAAAGTTTTGGATTTTGGAGCATTTTGAATTTCAGATTTTTGAGTTAAGGATGTTCAACCTGCGCTGTCTGGCTATATTAATTCATTTAGAACTCTTCACAATCTAGAAGCAAGCCTGCCCTCTAGTGCTAAAACTGTCAAATTGAATTGGAATAGCAATTTCCAACAATGAGAAAAAGAAACTAGCACTCCAGATGTTATTCTTAATATAAAAAACTGTATTATTTCAAAACAAAAAGCTTCATTCCAAGAATGAAGTGACACTCCCTCCTCAATTTAATTTGCCATTTACTTACATATTTGGTAACTATTATCAATCTTGCTTTTTCAATCTTAGTGCTTCTATAACACTATATGGTTTGTATATGTGTGGTAGAAAATGTTAACATTTTATTTCTATTTGAAAAATCACAAAAGTTGGCCTTGAATTTCATTGATCAGATGTCTTCAATTAAGTTCTATCCTCTGGCTACATTTACTCTCTAAGTGGTTTCATCCATATCCTGCCTTAAAATAAGATTACCCACTGATGACTTCCAAATATATTTATCTCCAGCCAAGACCTCTACTTTTCCAGGTTCAAATATCCAACTGCCCACTCTACATTTTCCTTTGGACATCTGATAGACAAGTCTACCATAACACATCCAAAAGCAAACTCTCAATCTACCTCTTTAAGCCTGCTCCTCTGAATCTTCCCCATCTTACTAATGCCCACTTCATTCTTCAAGCCAAAAACCTTGATCATTCTTTTTTTCATACCCCACATACATTCTATCAGCATATCCTTTTGGTGCCACCACCAAAATACATTCCACTAAATACATTCAGAATCTGACCACTTATTGTGCTTCCACCAAAATACATTCAGAATCTGACCACTTATTATTTCCATTACTCTTAGTCTCAAATTGTACCATCTGTCACCTGGATTTACCATATTTTATCCTCCTACTACTACCTGCTTCCATCCTTGCTTTGATCCGAATCCTAACTGCTTGCTAGCTCACTCAGTAAAGTCCAACTCTTGAGAAAGGGCTATAATGCCCTATATAATTACCTACAATCAGGCAGGATTATTACTCCCAATCTCTCTCAGTTCATTTTCCAGTTCTTCCTAAAATGCTATTCTTGTTCACTACAGTCACACTGATCTCTTTGCTGTTTCTTTACACTCTGTACCAGCTAAGGGCCTTAGCATGTAATATTCCTTCTGCCTAGAATGCTCTCCTCCCAGATATCCACACTGCACAACCATTCACTTCCTCAGGTCTCTGCTCAATGTCACATATCAGTGTACAGTCTACTAAACAGTAATCCTATCCTCACACACTCTCTGGGCCCCTTCCTCAACTTATTTTCCCCACATAACCTTGTCACCAAATGATAAATTATTTCACTAACCAATTAAAATAAAAATCCCATAAGGTCCAGAAATAACTGTCTTGTTTTGTGCCCTGCAATATATTCAGGCCTAGAATACTTCTTGGCATATAGTGGATGCTTGAGGTTTGTTCAATTAATGATTTAGTCTAAGGAGAATATTAATAATTTTGATTATAAAAAATGGCAGGATAACACAGGAAATCCTGGCTATTTCTTTTTATAAGATAAATTTGTTAGAAAAAAATAAACTATCATAACTAACCACTTGTTCAAGTACCAAGATGCATTCATTTAATAGCTAAGTGCTGTGGACAGGGCCCTATTTGAACTTCACAACAATATTGGTAGGTATCATTATCATCACCATTTTACAGAAGAAACTGAAGATGACATAGGTTAAATGTCTTGTTTAAAAGTGACATTAACAGGAATGTCACAAAAAGAAAATCAAACTCAGGTTTCTCAGATAATACTTTTATAAACGCGCTCTCAATATGCATAGTTTCAGGGAATAACGTAAATTTCAAAAAGGTAAGATTTCTACATTTGCAGATAAAAGTAGCTGTGTATGAACTTGCTCTAAGCCATTTTATTTGCATGACAGAATAGTAAAGTATCTATATAAACTAACTTCATTTAAGTCAATACTCAATTCTGCTAAGTTTGGTAAGTTAGTTTAAGTCTCAAATGACAAGTTGCTCAAATCAAGTTAGTTTATCCTCTTTCATGGTTCAAAGGCAATCGTTAGCAACAGCAAATTTTCTTTTGACTTTCAAAATATGTGAGGAGCTTTTATCTGTGATCTATTTTCTACGTGAAAAAGTTAATTCTTTGCCAGGAATGGTGGCTTACACCTGTAATCCCAGCACTTTGGGAGCCTGAAGGGGGTGGGATCACTTGAGGGCAAGAGTTTGAGACCAGTCTGGCCAACACGGTAAAACCTCGTCTTTACTAAAACAAACAAAAAAATACAAAACTTAGCTGGGCACGGTGGCAGGCATCTGTAATCCCAGCTACTTGGGAGGGTGAGGCACGAGAATCTCTTGAACCCGGAAGGTGGAGGCTGCAGTGAGCCGAGACTGCACCACTGCACTCCATCCTGGGTGACAGGGTAAGACCCTGTCTCCAAAAAAAAAAAAAAAAAAGTTAATTATGGCTAATATTCAAATCTAAAACACACACAGCCCAGTTTTCGGAAAATCCGGCTGTCTATATATATTCACTTCAAGTATTTATTACCTTTTAAAAATCCACAATTGTAATCTAATACTTAAAACCAAACCCATGAAGTACGAATTCATTAACACTTTAAAGCTCAGAAAGCCAGAAAAACCACAGAAGGATAAAACTTCTACAAAATGATACAATTTAGGGGAAAGCTAAGACATTTTTAACAAAATGTTTGCTACTAACTCCCATTTATGGACCATAGATCCATAAAATAAATACAACAAAGCTTCAATAAAATTGGCATTATAAAACAAGATTCAATACTTATGTTAAAGTCTAACCTCACTATAGTGTTACTTGATGATTTTAAGGAATATTTCACGCATGGTAAATCAGAAACCATGTAAAAATGAGCCATATTATAGAAGGTTCTAATACACGACATAGCATACATAGCAAAATGTCTCATCAATCCTAAAAAGAAAATGGTCACACCAATAACAACTGGTCAGGAAAAAGAGCCAAGGAAACACTATTTTTACTAATAGAATCTAAAAGATTATAAGGTGGACACAGCAAATGAATGTATGATCCATCAGTTTTAAGACTGCTGTTTGTAAAAAGGTAAATAAACCGTGCTTTAAAAGATCTAAAGATTTGCTCCAGTGAAGTAAAAGTTCACTAGAAAAATCTCTACAATTATATTATTGACCCTTTATCCAAGGTTTGGGGCAGAAATTCATCTTTCCACAGTCTCTAAGTTTATCATAAGTTAGACTGCCTTTTGGGCTTCCACCGCACTAACCACAGGTCTATTAACAAAAAAGAACAAATCTTAAACATTAGGTTTACCTGGTTCTTACCAAATATTCCTAAAGTAATAAAACTATACTAAAAAATGATACAATCCAGAATACTTAATAATTCAGACTAGCCTTTCCTTTTGAGGAAGAGTTAATGAAATTGTTATTCCTCTTTCTCCTGAAAAGAAAATGATCCTTTCTTTGAAATGTTTCCTTGTGATGATTTCTAATGTCACTCAAAAAGTGGTATTTCCTCAAGAGGGAAGGATTCCTCCTTAGAGGTAAGAATTCCTTAGGAGTAAGACTTTTGGTTTTTTTTTTTTTTTTTTTTTTTTTTTTTTGGCCTTTTGCTTTAACAAAGAAAGGCATTTAGTTTTCCTTTTTTTATTAAAATGCCCTCAATTTATCTGATGCTTTAGACATTTAAAACATTAAGCTGTAGGAGCCTTGAAGGCCAGAACAAAGTTTTATCAGAGATGAATTATTATCACAACAGTTTTAAGTACACTTCTTTAAGAGGGCAGAACAACAACACCTGGCATTCTTACCAATTACTCTTCAAACTGAACATATACTTCAATAAATCCTTTCATAATTTCACATTAGCAAGCTGGCAGATAGGACACGTTTTGTTGAAGAAATACTTCAAAGTGAAATGTTTCCACCCTGACCCCGAGTGATGGCATTCAATGTTAAGATAAATTTTTGGTTTGCTAGATGAAAAGGCATTTGTATTTAAGAGAAATACTCCTCAATCTAACATTCCCAAAGAAGGCTCTCAAATTGCAGTTCAAGAAACACTGATCTAGAGTGCTTCTGAGTAAAAACCAACAAAACCTATACATTATACATAAAAATGCTACTACTGTCAAAAATGTATTATATCAAGAATTTTATCAGCAGCATTTAAGAAATAAGAAATCATAGACAAGAGAAGACAAACATGGTAATGCAGTCAGACCAGCACACAATATACCATTTTCATCACACACTGTCACCTGAATCCCTGGCAATTTCCTAGAGGTATTAACATCATACCTTATTAAGAATTATTGGCCCCGAGGAGTGGGGGGGTGCAATCTTTTCAAATCAACATCTGGCTCTACTTTCTTCCAGTAGTATTACATTTGTATAATATTCTTATAGAAACAACTCAACTCCATGTTATAAAGCACCATACAGTATTTCATCCTGTACAAAGGAAGTAGTTCTGAAAATTTTACAACAGGATTCGTGGGAAGGCACTTAAAGCTAACTAGTCAAAAAAAAAAGTCTAACAACAGTTAGACTTTTTTATACTGCAGGGTGCTTAATATTGTATTCTTTGTTTATATCACTTAACATTTTGATCATAAATTTCCCAGTAAATTAAAAGCTATTCAAAACTAACAAAGGAAAGACAAGAAGGGACACAGCCCACACCCTGACTGATTAATCAGGCAGAGTAAATTTGCCTTCAAAGTAGGCAAATGTTGTAACTTTAAGAAAGGTAAGATAAATAGATGGAGCAACAGAGTAAAACAAGCATGGCCACAGTGGTACTGGACTCCAAGTATGGCTAGGGTCGGATAGGACGGTTGACTTTAAGTGAAAAAAGAAAGTAAATTTCATTTTCAGACTCAAAAAGTCTTAAAGGTATCTTTGGAAAAGTAAGCAAAGTAAATACTGTTGACCCTTGAACAGCATGAGTTTGAACTGTGTGGGTCTGCTTATACGCAGAATTTTTAAAACCAAACATGGATTGAAAACACAGTATTCCTGGGATGCAACAGTACACACACGGGGAGGGCTGACTTTTCACACAGGCAGGTTCCAAAGGGATGACTGCAGGACTTGAGTATGCGCAGATTTGGGTATACATAAGGGTCCTGGTATCAATCCCCTGCCTATACCAAGGATGCCTGTGCTTTCATATATATACTTTTTAAAAAACATTTCTTCTATAAGCTTTAAGTGTTTCCTATTTTACTCAAATACTGAAGATGAAAACCCGATATTACCATTAGTTTAGGTTACAAATGTGACAATTTATACGATTTTGCTTATATGTTTTGGAATTTAACAAAAAGGGATATATTCTTCAGTTCAGATGTACCTTGAAGAGTCAATTAAATTATAAATTCAAAGGTCTACAAATGTAAATGCTTTCCTTATAATAAATTTGATATTAAAACATCATTCATAATATTAAATCCTAACACCATTGGTATGCTCAATTCATACCTCAGTGATTCTAATACTTAAGAGGAGCATTCTGTATTATCCTTTTCTATAAGACATTTAGGAAAACCATCTCCCACTATTATGAGTGTTTTAATAAGATTACTATACAAAGTAATCTTATTAAGAAGGCAAGTAAAACATTGGCAATCATTTTTTTCCCAGCTCATTAACTAAAAAGCAAACAAAACACTTTAAAATGTCATTCCCCCTTAGGTAATCAATATGGAAAAATCATTCTTTAAACAAATTCACCACTGAAAAATCAACCTTTATCTTAAATCCTAATAGAAACACTCCCTTATTATGGAAAAATAATCTCCTTACTTCTCTCTACTCATACAATGACACTAGAAACATTACTGAAGTTGTGACTGGTCTATGAATATGAACAAAGTTTTCCTATCACTGGGATACTGGATGGTTTGAAAAGGAATGCACAAACAGGCCTGCTGCTAGTACAAAAGTGCCTTTTATATGAATTAGGAAAGGCTTCCCTTTCCTCAAGTCACTTTATTACCAACAGGCAGAAAATTGTGATAATTAGCAATACTGCAATACTACCAATGTAAATGGCTCTACTGAGTTGTGCACAATTACACCCAGAGTTCTCTCATGATTCCTTATTCTATTGTCTTCTTTTCCTATATGTATCTTAACTAAATCCATATCAGAGCTAACGTCCTCTTAAGGCAAAAAAAAAAAAAAAAAAAAAGGTGCTTTAAACAAAATTCCCTATATAATGACAGTTAAAAATATCATAAATATGCCACTATCAACAGTAACAATGATGATACAACTTAATAATACAAGTTTTTTAGAAAACAAAACTGGACACGATCTTTCCAATTCTAAACTCTCTGAGATAAGACATCTGCATAAGACCCTGGCAGCTTTTATAGAAACCCAGAGCTAAAAGTAGGAGCATTTTCCCAATACCTAGAAATGTTTATTAGCTGCATCAGCAAATCATTATCCCAGAAGTCAAGGCCAACAGTCTTCCAAACTGTGCAGAGATGACTATAATGAGCCATACCATCAGCAGACTACGTTGCCAAATATTAAGACTGTTTAAAATCTTGAAAATTCTATAAATTCAGGGTGAATGGGAACCTCAAAAATCCAAAAATTCAAATTTACAAAAATAAATACCACTCTGACACTCAAGGGACATCTTCACTTTAAGGCCTTTGTCACAAATCTGAATCTTTATTGTTCTGAAATAAATGTTATAAACATAACTCAAAACAAAAACTTCAATATTCAGTCTAAGAAGAGGTGTGGCTCAATGCCCATCACATGTAACAAGAAAAACCTCCTTTAAAAAAAGGAAAAAAAAGTACTATGAGAAGTCTTTCACATGAATGAAAATGCACCCGTCGGATTTTTTTCCCCCTCATCACATTAGCTTGTATACACGTGGGAATCAAAAGGTTTGCATTTTCTTCACAATAGTTCCTGCTATGATGTTTGACGGACTTTCTGCCACTCAACAAATTCATCAAGAAGAACAGGCCCTAGAAAAAAAGAAACAATTTTTGTCAGAATTCAGTGAACTCATCTCTCCAATTATAAAACAAACTCCCCACGAGCTCTGCAATGACAGAGAACTGACCCTTCCCTTCTTTGGGTGTTCTACTTCTAGTCACTTTATTCCATTTAATGGTGCTTCTTTATTAGCCTTTTCTTTTTTGCCCTTAAATACACAAGGAACAACGGTATCTATAGCAACTTCCTTCTCAAGGTGTTTCATGAACCCTCCAATAACTGAGTCAATAGAAATCTCTCCCTTTTTCTAAGTGTCCAAAGCATTCTGGCATGTAATTATGAAACAATCTGAAAAGTGTTGAAGGTAATATTTCTATGTTGCCTCCCCAAGAAGTGTATAAGCTTGTTGAGAGGGATCAACTATAATAGAGACTTACTTTATTCCAATAACAGGATGTAGTACAAAGCTGAACACAAAGCAAGTGCCTAATGAATATCTGACTAATGAGCTACGTACTATTCTAAAAAATATATTTTTGTAATGCAGGAGAGGTCCAAACTCATTTGCTGACAGAGCCAGGTAGGCAGTTTAAATGAGCTCAGTGTTTATTTTGTTTAAATGTAGGAAAAATCACTGCCACAAAGAAATATGCTTGCTCTGTTCTTAAAACACATAATCCTCTGGTGGTCTTTTTCCATTGTTTTTGACAGACATGTTTCTCTACGGTAAGAAAAACAGCAGAGCAAGTATGATAATAAATGGCAACTGAAAAACAGCCCAGCCTAGGTGTTGGCATACCATGAACTGTCAAACTGAAAAGCAAGTCCAACACAGTTAATACTTGCCTCTAGCCTCTGACTCCTATAAAGGAGTGCTATAAAGGTACAGTTTTGTCAGACTTTTTAAATTTTTCAAACAAATCTAAAAGTTGTATTTTAATACAAAATCTCCTAGTTTTAAATGTTGATACAAAATACATAAATATACACATCTACAGGCCATATATAGCCTTTGGGCTGCCAGGTTACTGCTGCTAGGTATTCTTTACAATAATACTAAATTTTATATCATCTTGTAGAGAGAGGACAAAATATATGTAGGAAGAAATAAAGTTATCCCTTCTTCTGTTACTTTATTTTTTCAGTGTCACAGAAAAAAAGTGTAAATTTCAGTTTAAGTTTATAGGAATGTACTTTTCCTTGTAACCCTTCTGAACACTGAAAACACATGCAACCAACCAAAATGGTGGTGGGAACTGAAAATAATTTATAGTTCTACAGAATTAACTTGGTTTATCTAATTAATTTATCATTATTTCAAAATCCTGTTTTATGGCATTCTAGCCTTTCCATGAAGGAGTAGGGACAGATACTTTAACTTGAGGGATTAAAAAATTATAACTATTTCACTATCAGTTTACTCACAATCAATTTACAGTTTTCAGAGAGAAGTTATACTGACATTATTTGCCATAATGTTAATGGGTAGCATAATATTACAACAACTCTTTAAAGCTTTTTCTATTGTGGCTGATTGTTTTGCTGTTATATTTTAAAAATCATGACTGTACTTTCCTTCCATAGGCAAATGCCAGGAAAGACAGAAACAAAGCTGAATTTTAGTTTCTGGATGCAAAAATTATAATTTAAATTTAGCTAAAATGTTTGGTTACTGAGGAACTGAACACATTTCACCTACCAGCATAGATTTTATATAATACTGCTGAATCTAAGCTTTCTCTCTACTTCTCCCACATCCCCCACATGATTAAATAATGTTACTATTACAAAATTTTTAAACCTCTATGCTAATACTACATAAATCCATACTCTCATTTAATATTTTTGGAAATTTTATTTTCAAAGGAACATGCTATGTTATACTTACAAGCACCATCTTCATCATAGTTACTAAGATCGGCATGGACTGTTCTGCTGAATTCTAATACATTGTACCATTGATCTTTGTTCATAACACGATACTTTGATTGCTGCAAAAAATGATTTAAATATTTGTATTTAAATATTTAAGCAAACATCATTTACTCAATTTAGTAAACTAAGTTATAACTTTTTTTGTCATTTGGTTTTTCGTAAAACATTTATTATTCTTTTAATTATTTGTGTTTTAAGAGATTCCTTATGGGCATTTACATATTAACATCATCTATTTCTTACTTTTTTTTTCATTTTTGAGGAATAGTAAGAGCACTGAGTACTAATAGTAAGGATAAAACTAACTTTTACATATGTATATACTTGTGTTACCACCAATGAGATCACGATATATAACATTTCCTACATCCAGTATGTTATCTTATGCTGCTTCCTAGTAAATCATTTCTTTGCTTAAGATTTACTGGTTAGCCACATTTTGAGTTTGGTATCTTTGGAGACAACTGAAAGAGTATAGGCTTTGATTTAAATCCCAACCTTCCCACTTAATTGAGTGATTTTGGGAAAGTTACTTAAGAATAGAAACCACTTCCTCATTTGTTAAATGGGGGATAGAATTTAATTCAAAATGGTGTTATAAAGATTTTTTAAAATGTATGCCAAACAACCTGCACAAGTGTCTGAAAATATTTAGTTCTTCTCAGCTCCCCATAGAGCTGAATATTTTTACATTCAGTTAAATTTATTTTTGCCCCAAACTACTAATAGAAAGAAAATAGATACCATTCATCAAAAATAATTTATAGGACTTAAAGATTGAATCATGCATAAAACTCATTCATGTAAGACCTTTTCATATCACTCTCTCTCTCTCTCTCTCTCTTTTTTTTTCTGAGACAGAGTCTCGCTCTGTCACCCAGGCTGGAGTACAGTGGTGCAATCTTGGCTCACTGCAACCTCCACCTCCCTGGTTCAAGCAATTCTCGTGCTTCAACCTCCCGAGTAGCCAGGACTACAGGTGCACACCACCACATCCAGCTAATTTTTTTTGTATTTTTAGTAGAGATGGGGTTTTCACCATGTTGGCCAGGCTGGTCTCGAACTCCTGGCCTCAAGTGAGCTGCCCACCTTGGCCTCCCCAAGTGCTGGGATTACAGGTTTGAGCCACCACGTCTGGCTGATATCATTGTCTTATATCACAACTTTTACTACTCTGGGAAAAGGGAAGTTGCTATAAGCAATGTGCTTTATGATAAATTATTTCCAAAGGAAAAAGCATCTGTATTCAAGATATGGTGAGAACTATACCAATAACCCTAAAATTACAAAGACATAAAAACAGTTTAAAAAAAAAAAACTAGACAAAGAAAGCAATGGAAAAAAAGAATAGCATCTTCTTAGAATCACTGCCTATAGTAGGTGCTATGATAAACCTTCTAAAAGAACACTTCATCATTTCAGCTTACAACTTTTTAGTAACCAGCATATTTAAGTATACTATTATAGTCATTCTCATATTTGTGGACATAAAATATGAATAGCTTTATTCTCTTTCTTTAGATTGAGCCTAAGTAGAAAAGGAAAGTTGTATTACTAAATTGGTTATCTTATGTACATTTCAGCTTAAGACCCTGTATAACAAAAGAAAATCAGATTTAGAAGCTTAAGATTTGCGTGCTAGCATTAATTCTCTCTTACGAAAACCCCGAGAAACTAACTTTGCATGACAAATGTCTGTGCTACAGTATATTTCTTGGAGGTTTCTTTTATTGGGGCAGGGAGGGGGGTAGGATTGAAGGTATCTTAGGTACAAAATATATTAACAAACATGAACATCTAAAAATAACTGATATGTACATATTTTAGAATTTTTTCTCTACTCAAGGAGTTTTTTTTAAGCATACTATTAAAAATCTACTTGTTCCTCAAAAGTATAACTTTCAGATTAAGTTTTAAAATAATATTTTCAAAATTCAAAAAAAAATACATACCTCCAGGTACTGGTAAAATACTGAAAACAGTGGCCATGTCCTCCCAAGCAGAAGAGCTAACATAGATTTAGCAGTATCAATATCAAGGCTTCTCTGATCTTTATCCTAAAATGTAAGTGAAAAAGTTTTCCTAAGTGTGGTCTCAAGATGAAAAGCGATTAAAACAACAAAACAAGAAAATTGCACCTACCCTTGCAAAATCAAAGGCATATCTGTAGATATTCTTAAATGACGAAATATCATTCAACTGTGAGCGCAAAAAGTCAAATTTGTTTTGTAACTTTTCTGTGCAGTCACACCTTAAATAAAAGAAACAGCAAACAAATTACATAATCAAGAAAATCAAATAAAAGTATCATTGGGGGTTAGAAGGAATCCATTAAGAAAAAAGTGAATGCATTTATGAAGTTAATTTAGTTTTAAAATTCTGAGTCACAAATTTATAGTAATAAATTTCTTGCCTTGCATCTACCAATGCAATAAAAAAAGAAAAAAGGGGAAAAAAGAAAACCTGGGAATCAAAGAAAGTTCACTGCAATTACTTTTCTTAAAAACAAACATTCAAAAATTCCAATAAAATCAAAGTTAAAAAGAGATGTATTAAAACATGTTTTATCACATATACAGCTAAAAATGACAGAGCAAATGAAATGAAACATGCCTTTGTCACATACTTCTTTAGAAAGTTCTTAGGTAACAGTTTGGTGAAAGACGTTAGTCCTGAGTGGTTTTAAAAGTTTAGGACATAACACAGCGGAAAGTAATACATTATATTAAGTGGTCCAGTCAGAAATCCAGATCCCTATATTTTTGTGAACAAAAAGTTAATCAGCAGAAGCACTTAACTTCAAATAAGTTACATATGCAAAAGCATGCAAACAACAAATCATGTGTTATTTTTAAAGACAACACATTAAATATAAGCAGCTAAATATATGGAAGGCTCAAAAATCTTAACTGGCTTTCTCTCAGTGGGTTGATAAATTCCACTGTTTAGCAAGAAGCAAGGCAGTCAAGGCCTTTCACAATTTCTCACAAATCTCTAGTTTCATCTCCTGCCACTTCCTGATAACCTTACCATGCTCTAATTATATCACTTACCATTCCCAAATGCCACAGCCATGCTTCAGCACCCATTATTTCTACTCGAAATCTCAAACATGCTGATAAAAATATTATTCATCAAGACTTAACTCACATTTTGCCACCTCTGAGAAACCATCTGACTCCCTTTAATCAAATTAATTGTGCCATCTACTGTGGTCCACAGTATTCCACTCAAAACTGAATTTTAGTTATTCAACAAGCTCTCCAGACACCTGGCATTCTCGGATTTAACTAAGACTACACTAAATCAATAATGCAAAGGCCTATGATGTGTAGTAACATAATTTCATTAATGTGTAAATATTTTGGACAATTTTCTAATATTAATTAAACCTTGCATTTCTAGAATAAGTCAAATTTGGTCATGTTACCTGTTTTATACATTGCTAGATTTTGGGACTGTTTTGCTATCTTCCTAAGTGAGACTAGCTTGTAAATTTCATTCTTACTCTCCTTGCTAGTTTTGTTAACAAGATTGTAGTACATAAGACTCAGAAAATGAAAAGAGAATTGCTACTTTTTCCCCCGATTTTTGAAAAAGCTTATGTAACCCTGAAATTATCATCTGTCCACACTCAGGTGAGTACTGAGGGAAGGAAGACTTTTAACTAATAAACCAACATTTTTAATGGTCATAGGGCCATTCAGATTTTCTATTTCTTTTTGAATGTTGTGGTCCCATACTTTTCTGATAACTATATTATTTTATATATGTTTATTTAAATATGATTAAAATTTATAACATTTTCTAATTTGCATTAACATTATCTTCATCGTTTTTTTGTTTTTCTTGCCAGAATTAATTCATTTAATATAGTATTTAAGGCTATAGATTTCCCTCTTAATACAACTTTAGCTGCAACCACAAGTTTTGATAAGTATTGTTTGCAGAACTATCATTCGATGGAGCAATCCCATTACTGGATATATACCCAGAGGAATATAAATCATTCTACCATAAAGATATGCAGATGAATGTTCATTGCAGTACTGTTCACAATAGCAAAGACATGGAATCAACCTAAATGCTCATCAGTGATGGACTGGACAAAGAAAATACGTATACACCATGGTACATGTATGCTCTGGAATACTATACAGCCATTAAAAAAAAAAAAAAAACATGATCATATCTTTTGCGGGAACATGGATGGTGCTAGAGGCTATTACCCTTAGCAAGTTAATGCTGGAAAACCAAATATCACATTTTCTCACTTATAAGTGGGAGCTAAATGATGTGAACTTATGAACACAAAGAAGGAAACAGCAGACACTGGGGTCTACTTGAAGGTGGAGGGTGGGAGAAGAGAGAGGAGCATAAAAGATAACTGTTGAGTAATAGGCTTAATACCTGGTAATGAAATAATCTGCACAATCAACCCTGTGACACTACTTTACCTATGTAACAAACCTTCACACATACCCCCAAACCTAAAAATTTAAAAAATAAAGATCTTACAGTTCAAACATACATGTATATTTTTGCTTTTAGTATTTACTTGTAAATGACACCTTGACAGGAATTGTTTTGAAGGAGTGATAGGGATAGAAATTTTACTGGAATAGGTTTAAGAGAGAATGAAGAGTGGAACTGGAGAAAATAAGTATAGATGAATACTTTCAAAGAGTTTGATTCTAAAGTGGTGCAGACAAAAGAGGCACTAACTTGAGTGGGATGCAGTCAATGAACTTTTCACACTCACTCTCTTCTAGGTACAACTAAAATGCCTGAACATTATATAGAAAATAAACACAAGACCCTGAAAGGTGGAAACCTGAGGAATTACATGGTGGTGAGTTCTCTGGGTTTCTTTTTGCCTAATATATTCCAAACTTGGAGCTGAAGAAGCTAGTAACCAGAAACAACAATGGGGGCAGACAAAAAGCCCCAACAAAACCCTGCCTTTTCTCTAGCCAAAAGACAAAGAAAAGGAGGAGCCTCACAAAACAGAAAACTCTTAGAAAATAAACACTCTACTCCAGTTAAAAACCACTGAAAAAACTATGGCCCAACTCCTACCAATGCCAGCAAAGACTGAATGGAGACCTAAAATGTCCACCCTTACCAGGATATAATAAAGCCTCTCTCTCAACTCCTACAATGCTGGTGGAAACCGAAACCACACAGGTAACATGAACTTCTGCTCTCGTCAGGTAGTAACAAGCAGCCAATCCTCTTCTGCCCTAGGTTGATATAGAGGAGGCCTAGTGAAGAGTCCGGGCTTTCACCATCACCCAGTGGTAACAAGGCACTCCTATCCCTTTCAGACAAGAAAGCATCAGTAAAAGTGTAGTGGGAACCCAGAACTCTCATCCCTGCCCAGCAGTCACAAGGGATATCCTTCCTTAAATGTCAATGGATGCAGGGTAGAAAATTCAATTTCTACCTGTACCTGGCAGTAAGAAGGTAGCAGCTCTATTTGTCTTGCCAGAATAGCATTAGAGTAAGCTAGCTAAAACTGAAGATTTAAATATGATCCAGAGATGCAGAGTTTTATAATATACTACCCAAAATATCCAGGTTTCAAGTTAAAAAATCACTTGTCAAACCAAGATCTCAAATGGAATGCAAAAACACAATCAATACTCGCAAACACCAAAATGACAGAGATGTTGAGAATTAGTTGACACATTTTAAAGTAGCTATCATACAAATGCTTCAACAAGTAATTAAAAACATAATAGAAAAATGAAAAAATATAAAGTCTCAGCAAAAAGAGTCCAAGGACAAAGAAATATAAGATATAAAAAAAGAACCAAATGGAAAATTTTGAACTGTAAAATACAAGGTAGACTTAAGCCCTACTATATCCATAATTACATGACAGTAAGTAGTCTACACCAATAATGGATTTTAAAAAGCATGAACCAAACATACGCTGTCTAGAAGAAACTTTAACTTCAAATAGTATAGGCAGACTGAAAGTGAAACAATGGAAAATAATATCTCATAGAAATATTGAAAGAAAGCAGGAAGTGGATTTCTACATTAGATGATATTAAAATAGAGCAACTTCAGAGTAAAGAAAATGATCAGAATAGAGGGGATAATTATATTATAACAAAAGGGTCATTCCATCAGGAAGACATAGCAATCCTAAACTATTCTAAGCAATCCTATATACATTAAACAATAGAGCTGCAAAATGTGTGAAGTAAAAACTAAACGTGTGAAGTAGCACTGAAAAGAGAAATAAATTCATAATTATAGTTGGATATTTCGCCACCCTTTTTTCAGCAATTGATAGAAACACTAGATAGAATTCAACAAACTCACAGAACTTAACATCATCAACCAACAGGATCTAGTTGACCGTAGCAGACTACTCCATTCAAACACAACAGAATACACATTATTTTCAAGTGCCCAGAAAACATCAAACAAGATAGACCAATCCGGAGATATAAACCCCTCAACAGAGTAAACATAACCGAAATAAAAAAGAATGTATTCTCTGACAACAATGGAATCAAACTAGAAATCAACAACAGAAAGTTAAAAGGCAAAATCTCCAAACACTTGGAAACTAAACAGCAAACACCTAAATAATCCATGGGAAAGTTAAGTCTCAAGGGAAAACAAAAAATACATTAAACTAAATGAAAATACAACATATCAAAATGTTGACACACAAATAAAGCAGTACTGAGAGGGAAATTTATAGTGCTAAATACACACATTAGAAAAAAGAAAAAGCCTTAATCAACAATCTAAGCTTATATCTCTAGAATTCAGAAGAAGAAAGGCAAAATAAACATAAAGCAAGCAGGACAAAGTAAATAAGAGCAGAAACTGCTGAAATTGAAAACAGAAAAATCAATGCAACAAAGCACATTGAAAAGATCAATAAAATTGACAATTTTCTAACAAGACTGACAAAAAAAAGAGAGAAGACAAAAATTACTCATATCAGGAATGAAATGGGGTATCATTACAGACCCACAGCTATCAAAAGCATAGTAAGGGATACACATTGAACATACACAATGTATGATAGTAAGGGATCACAATGAACAACTCTACACACATAAATTTTTCTACACATATAAAGATTTTTATACAGATAAAATCTATATCTATATAATTTTATATAATCCATATCTATATGATCTATATCTAATCTATAGATAGATATTTTATATCTATAGACCTATATAGATATCTATAATCTATATCTATGTAGATATTTTA